GGCACACCCCCCTAGGGGGCCTATATAAAAGGGGGAGGGAGGGCAGCGACACCTCAAGCCTTGGCGCCTCCCTCTCCCCTGCTACACCTCTCCCTCTCGCAGAAGCTCGGCGAAGCCCTGCTGCGATCACTGCTGCATCCACCACCACGCCGTCGTGCTGCTGGATCTTCATCAACCTCTCCTTCCCCCTTGCTGGATCAAGAAGGAGGAGACGTCATCCGCTCCGTACGTGTGTTGAACGCGGAGGTGCCGTCCGTTCGGCACTTGGTCATCGGTGATTTGGATCACGGCGAGTACGACTCCATCATCCCCGTTCTCTTGAACGCTTCCGCTCGCGATCTACAAGGGTATGTAGATGCACTCTCCTCTCGTTGCTCGTTGACTCCATAGATTGATCTTGGTGAAACGTAGAAAACATTTTTGTTTTCTGCTACGATCCCCAACAAGTTGTCGTGTACGACGATGTTACGACGGTCTGACGTTTCGTAATCCTACCCGACACTCTCACGGTGATTAGCTAATCTTCTGAACGGTGAACCGTTTGTGATGGGCCGCGCATCATAAACGTAGCACCGCAGAATATCGACTGCGATGGCAATGCGAGCAGAAATGAGTAGGAGTACTATAGGGGCCCTATCCCCGACAGTTTCTGGGTCGTGTGGGAAGGACCCCCCATCGCCCACACTCACTTGGCGACGGTTCCAAATGCCGTCGCGGAAAGGGGTTAAAAACCGTTTGTTTAGGACCGACGTGCACCAGTGCCTCTTAAATAAATACTTTGAGTCATAGAGTTATGTTGCGATGTGATGTTGTATCTACACATACTATGCATATTCTGTGTATGTTTTGAAATGCATTGGTATGTGTGAGATTCGACACCTAGTTATTTGCTTTTGCTAGCCTTTCCTATAGGGAAATGTCTCCTAGTGCTTTCACTGAGCCTTGATAGCTCGCTACTGCTCCGGAACACATATATTGACTGGCATGTATCATTATTTGCTCCTATGTATGCCCCTATGGGAAAATGTCACGCGGTGTTTACTATTGTCCTTGTGGCTTTGCTACAACTTGGTTACACTCGCTAGTGACCGACACGTGCATTGTTGGTTTATGTATGTCTGTCCCTGTACGTCTGTGCCACCTTGGTTTATGACTAGCCATATCAACCCGGGTTATCTGTCATATGGATGCTCGCGTCACAATCATATACGTGAGTCAAAAGATGCAAAACGGTTCCAGCCAAGGTAAGGGCGGCAGCCATGGGTTACCAGGCGTGAGGCCGCAAAGTGATATGATGTGTTACATGCTACATTGGTGTGACTTAGGATCGGGATCTCGATAGTTACGATACACCATCCTAGATAAAAAGGCAATAAGACCAGCGTTAACCTAGCTCACACGTGACAGGTTCGGCATACCAAAAACAATATGCACTGGTTGGCACCCTCTTATTACCTAATGATATGTCATATACAACTGATATACATCCTCTGAAGTTGATTTGTAAGAAGATTACCTGCTGGTTTTGCTAGATCTGGCTGCTTCTGCGTCGTCTCCACCCTTGGACTCTATGACCATTGAAGATTTGGGGTTGGGGTCAACGTTGGTAGGAGGAGGGTATGCGGCGAGGGACCATAGGGAAGAGGGGGCGGCTGCCGGTACCAAGCCTTCCTGGAATGGGCCGCCGGGTCCGTGAGAAACACCAGGAGGAGCCGACGAGGTGGGGTGAACTGCGACTGTGACTTTGTGAAGAGGGAGGGGACGACTTGTTTCTGAGGGAAGATGGGTGGGGTGAGCGTGGGTGGAGCTCAAATGAACAAATTACACGATGCCCTAAAAACGAGAACCAAAACGCTTAAATTTTTTATGGACAGGCACGCCTATTACATACGCGCGCACAAGTCACATAGGCGACCGAGGCATGTCCTGCCTAATTGGCAGGCGACACAACCGAGGGCATGAGACTCCTAATTGGAAGGCGGCATGATCGACGGTCTGACACGCCAAGTAGGCAGATGGTTGGACGAACTACAATTCCAAATTGTCAGGCTGCAATGCCGGTATACAGCCACGCCTAACAGAAGGGCGTACTTATATTTTTGAAACGCCAAACCCTAAGGCGAATCATAAGTGAAACACGCCAAACAGATGGACGTGTTAAGATTCATGTATTAACACCTATCAATTAAGCGTTTTAGGTGTACATCAAAACATCCAACTAGGACAGCAGATGTACTGATGCAAGGATGCTCGAATGGTCGGAATTGCAAGAAGGCCAGATATTCTATCTGCAATCGCGCCTTTCCATCAGGCGCGTCAGGCCGGCACCATGCTGGCAGTGTGACCGACTACCTCGACCGTGACTGGTCAAAGGCGCCTTCGTGGGCGGCATGGCTACATGTAAGTGACACACCTATCAGTCAGGTGCGAAAGGGGTCAGGTGACGAAATAAGTGTTTGGAGGGTAAGGGGATGACAAGACCCTCCAGGGGTTGTTTGGTTTCTAGCCACATCTTGCCACACTTTGTCACACGTCACCTTAGGTAAGTTTGACCAAGCTAGATGGGTGGTTGGTTCTAGCCACACCTAAGGCAAGTTTTTTTTAATGAAAAGTGAATCCCACATGGCATAAACACAAGACGTGTGACAAGATTTTCTTAGGCAAGCCAATGTGGCTAACAACTTAAGCAATTCAAGTTAGACAAGTGTGGCAAAAATAATATGGCAATATATGACAAACACAGTCCAAACCTGCGAAATGTGCTGGTTGAGTGTAACGCGGATCACCACTCCCATCGTGACGCGCAGCGCAATGATCCGGGCGTGGCCAGAATGTTCAGATTCAGAGAGAGCAGAGCGTACCAGCACGGCTCAATAATTCGGGCCCTAGCAGCAGCGGTAAATTCCTTTCTACTGTTCCGCGGCGCCACCAGCATCACGGCCCGCGTCGTGGCCTTTTCGGCCTTCTCCGACGTGCTCTGTGTGCTGCAGCAGGTAAACCAAACAAAACCAAACGACACGGGGGAATGGTCAGGGCAGGAGTGTCGCGGACGGGAGCAAACTAATCTGACTGTTTCAACGGGACTACCACTAGTCAGTTCCAAGCAAAGGAAAGCAAAGCCTCTGTTGACTGCTGTAGTTCTACTTCTATATCCGTGTGTATGCCCCGATACCAATGATGGCGAGAACCAGTGCACTGTAAACACCAACACAGCTGCGTGCTTATACTGTAAAATACTCGAGACCTAGCTGACAGGAGGTGCGCCTGTAATTGTCAGCAGTGCTGTCAGGGCGGTCAATCACTTCATGTTTTATCTAGATTAATTAATTAATTCTATATTTGTTAATTAGAAGCATAATTCTGATGTGATGCTCGTACGTGCAGCCAGGTGCTGACACCTTTCTAGTGTGTTGAAGAGCATGAGTGAAGTTCTCTCCAGAGCGAAATGCACGGCTCACACTCATCGACCACCGACGCCAGTTCACGCAGCGCTCTGGCTCTGTCAGAAGCATTACGGCCACTGTACTGTACTGCGTCGTCTCAACTCAACTCATCTCATCTCATCTCATCTCATCTCATGATGTGCAGCATGAATGCCTTGAGGGTAGTCCGCCGGGCAGCTGTTACGGAAGCAGTGACCTAAGGTAGATTGCTCCGCGTTATCTCACCGGGACCAGCACGAGAAAATTAATATGACGCCAACTACAAACATATAGGAGTAGCTGCGACTTGCATTGGTCTCCACATGTCAATCATCCAGGCCGAGTAGTAACCTAATGGTTTGACAAACAGCCTCAACTAATCTCGGTTAGTTTAGACTAGACACCACTGACTGACATATTCAGAGGCAAATCATCCGCCGTCTTGGCTCTTGCTCGACCCAAGTGAGGCTTACGAGTATACAATTGCATGCGAAATATTTTAGCGAGTTGAACCTGGAGAAGTCCCGGCGAATGGCATCGGAGCCACATGCACCGGAGAACCCTTTCCCAACCCTAAAATAGCAGTGGAACGAACTGACTTTCATTTTCTTTGAAGCAAGTGGAACTAAGTTGGATCTGTATCTAAGGAACTATAGTTTACATGCCGACCAAATAATGCAAGTTCCAAGGCTGCAGCAGCAGGATGATACCCACTCTACCGCATTTGCAGATGTTTGCAAAGGAAAACACAGGGCGTAGCAGCAGATACTATCAAGGAGACGAGATGCACATTCGGCAGGTCGGTCCGGCCTCCAACAGATTCAGGACCAGCATATTTATGGGACGAGCAAGTAACATGGGGGGATCGATCAATCAATCAAGGGATCAACCACCAAAAGGTCCCATTACAGGGACAATAATTACCTTTTCAGCACCCGCACAAGGTCCACACCAAACAGCTTACAGCCAGAACCACAAGCTAATCACATCTGAAACTGAATAGTACGAGCATACAAGGCTAAGTTGAAGAGAAGTGGACACTGAATTTTGAACGAATGAACGAATTTTCCGTATACTCGGATGGATGGAACATATGTATCCGACAGTTCCATCAGTCCCCCTCCCACACAATCAGCGGGATGAGGAGAATTTACACTCAACTTACGCTAACATTTCCGCGGCATATCATCAAATCAATAGAGCAATCGAAAGAAAGAAAGAAAGAAAGAAAAAGGGCAAAGGACGAATCTGATCTAGGCTGAAAGATCTCTCTACAAAAAAAGGGGTGGTACAAAGCTAGCGAGCGAGCTAATAGCTACAGGGCCTGCCACGAACAACAACCGCTGACGATGAAGAGATCTCGGAGGACCACCGGGTTGATTATGTACAAGCACTGGTCCATGCACGATTCAGCAGCAGGAGCACCGAGCATGTGATGTCTTGTACCAAGAAACCGCACACACGCGCTGGTCCAGCGCCATAGCTGGGGTGCACGGGCGCTTTTCTTCATGGCCGGCCATGTGGGAGGCGCCAATGCTGCCGTTCACTTGCTTTCACCGGGCGCTCCGGATGAACCAGTCACCGTTGCACCGGCAGGCCGTAATTCTGGAACGACCTGATCCGGCCGTCCCATCCCGCGGTGACGATCACCCGGCCCCAGGAGTTCGCCGTGCTCTGGGAGCAGTTCCTCAGAAGCTTGTGCTGCGTCTCGTCCAGGCTTGCGCCGATCGAGCCGGACGGCAGCATTTCCTCCGGCCAAGTTGCCGAGGCGCCTTTGCACGACGGCTCGGCGAACAACTCCTGGTTGAGGTTGAAAATGCCAGGAGCAGAGGGTCTTGAAGGAAAACTTTTGCTGGAACTGTACTTGAATTGGATATGAGAGGCCAAGGAAACATGGCTCCTTGGTTTTGTGCCGTGCCATGGTATCGCGATGGCTGCGTTGTTGGATAGGAAGCGCTCAGAGGAATATGTGGTTTTCGCTTGTCGCCACACAGAATCATCTTGGTTGTCACGGTTCCAGACATAAATGTTGGAGTCTTCACTGGCAGAAACTATGTGCTCCCCGTCTGGTGTGAAGGATGCTGACATCTGGCATGAACCACTTCGGAGTCCTGATGATGGTTTACAAATATTATTAGTCCATTGAAAGTTATGATTTCAGAGAGAAAAACTATAGAGGTAAATGTTGAATATAGCAAAAGGAATAGAGTAAGTATTTGAGACGTACCACTGTAATTCTGAATCACATTGGTTCCATCCAACATCCTGATCTTGGAGTCGGCAGATGTTACCATTAGTTTACTTGGGTTGTTTGGACAGAACTGCCATGGAAATGGAAGAGCAATAGTAAGAAACATGCTTGATGAATAATAGGGCTGATGAAGATATCAATTACAACAACAGTCATCCTTTTCTTGTAAGTAGATGATTACCTGAAAACTTGTGATTCTCTTCAAAGAGGATTTCTTGCCGCTGAGTGCAATCTGATTTTCCAACCGCAGCAGGCCGTCCGATGCGTCGTAAAAGCGACAATTTCCAGTAATCGTTCCAACCACTACACCCTGCAGAAAGCCGAAGGAAAATTGGAGATCAGTCTCCAAACTATCGAGGTACCAAATTTATCAAAATAACTACAATGGTGCACTAAAAACGTACCTTTCCATCAGGTCGGTAACAGACCGCTGTAACTATGTCTCTAACATCTGCCCAGTCGACAACGCTGCATCTAGTTATGTTCCATACACGAACTTTGCCGTCAATGGATCCAGTGATGAAGCAATTGTCGTCTGTCGGATTAAATTGGACACAAGTCACTGCAAAAATTTGGAGAGCAAGCTGTCAGCTTCAACCCATGAGTAAAGGTATAGGCAAGCAGAGAAAATATGAATTTGCAAGCCTACCAAAGTTGCTATGCGGGAAAACTCTGATGCAGTTTGCAGATCCAATTTCCCACAGGCGGACAGTTTTGTCTGTTGAAGCCGATAATAGATGCTGCAAGGTATCAAATTTTAATCATCATCAGTAAAGAGGTATATATAGGAGAAACAAAGAACAATCCCATTAGGTTGATAAAAAAAATACACTTCTTCAACTGACCTTGTTTGACCAGGACAGATCCAATACATCAGCAGAATGCCCATAGAACTCATGCAATGGTTCCTCTGAAATTTGGAAAACCATTGTTGGAATCACAATGCAGGCAGAGTCTCCAGTCTTCTTCATGCCCATACTCTTGGATTTGCGCAGCTTCTCGCTGTCGACACTCACCGGCGCCAACCCGTTCTTGCGCCGCGCCTTGAGGTAGACGCAAGAGGGGTCATCCAGAGGAATTTTGCAGTCATCAGACTGCAAAACACCCCAAACCCGGACAACTCCGTCTTCGCCGCCGCTTGCTAGGAACTGCCCATCAGGACTGAATTTCATCGTCAGGATGGCACCATCATGTCCCTTGATCACTTGGCCTTGGTACAGGGCAGACAATTCCTTGGACCGCTTCCGGTACGATCGGACCTTGACCCTCTCATACCTTCCACCATGAATCTGCTCGCTGTCAGAGGAGCTGGTGCTAGGCTCATCCGCCGCATTATCCACCGCACAAACGGCCACGCCCAGCCTCTCCAGCCATCCGCTTCTCCTCCTCTCAACTGTCCTCGGAGCGCCGGAAGGCTTGCCATTTCGGCTCATAAGCCTTCTGATAAACGAGAACGAACTGGAGCTCCGGCTGACCTTGCTGCTGCCATCGTCCTTGCTGGATCCACCGACGGAATTGTCGTCGGACGCGCCGCCCTCGTCATAGCTCGTGGTCTCCTCCGTGGACCAACTGGACATGGAGCAGTCGTTGTCCTCCGAGTGCGACGACAGCCTCCCGGTCTCCGGCACAGCCTCCTCCTGCTGCTTCTCCACCTCGCCGGCGGCGCAAGCGGGATCCACCGCCTGCCTGGGGCTCGGGCCGCACTCGAGGCCCATGCTTCTGAAGAAGCGCTCCTTCCTGTCCCGCACGCTGTCGAGGCCATCGAGGCCGCCGGACGACCACGGCAATGCCGGTGCCGGGCTGGGCGCCGGCGACGGCAGCAGGTCCTGGCGCGTGTCGAAGAAGGCCTCCTCCTCCGCCTCCACCCTACCGCTACTAGAGCTCTCCCGCGCTAACTGGCACGACTCCATGGATCGATCGCTGTTGTTGGGAGGCTGCAAGAATGATACAGTTGCAGATAAGCTACAGTGTGGGGAACAAACAATCACATCTCAGAGCAGCCGTGCGGGCACGCGCTTATATAACAGTAGAGGGAGTAGAGCGGCAGGGGCAGCGGCCGGGGGCGCGCTGAATTGCCTCGGCGGCAACTTGGGGACGAGAAAGCGAGCGCGGACGGACGCGAGAGGAGAAATTTTTTTTTTTTGAAACAGGCGTGATTAATCAAGAGTTAATAAAGAAATTAGAGCACCAAATCGGAACTAATCAATGGCCCCGTATCTGCCATGAAATCCCGGGCCTCGCGTGGCCGAATCGGCCCCGAGCAATGCATGCATCTGGCCGCGGCGACGCCAAGTTAGCAACAGCCAGCCAGCCAGCCGCTCGCCCGCGCGCGCCCATTGTTAAAGCGGAGCGGCAACGAACCGGAAGAAAAGAACTTTTTTTCTCCTCTCGTTGGAGGAACGGGCGGTGAAGCGAATTGGGCGACACATATCTCGAAAGGACTTGCCGACGCGGGGGGAGGGGAATAGAAAAACGAAACTCGCGGGAGGGGAAGCGCACCTGGGCCGACGGGGAGGGCAGAA